GAGGAACTGTATTAAAGGGTCACAGCATGAGGAAGGTTGAGAACCCCTGCTTTGATGTCTCCTCGTAGCATGGTATCAAGCAGGTGTGGGGATTCACAGTATGTAAGGTTCATGGAATCATCAATACCAACTAACAGCACACCAAAGAGAAGCAGTTCTAATCTTCACATTAGAGATAAATGAATTAAGTGCCCAAAATGTTATAAATAACCAAATAGTCCTTGGCAGAAAATAAAGCTTCCCACCCCCTTTAAAAATTACTATTATTATAGAGCATTCTGGGCATTCAGTAAGTCCTCCTAGAACAACTGTAAGAGTGGCCCTCTAAGAGTCCCCATGAGTCTTCATATTCCCACTTAGAAACGTTTCTTTTTCTCCTCTCTATTGATTAATTCTTGGGAATTGTTTGTCAGACTGGTCAGCATTGAGAAGTTGTACAGACATAATACACAAGTATCTGGTATATTGTTATGTCAAAAAGCGGAGTTGGTAAGACTTCAATGTCTGCAGAGATTAAATGATTGTTTATCAGAAGTGGTCTGAGAACTTCCTTTCTCCTTTCTTCCAGCAAGTGTGTTTCCACTTCTTAAATGGCAACAATTTTCCATTCATCAATATCCTACACATCCATTATAGAAAAACTGGAAAATATCAAAGTCGACAGAAAAAAAGCTTTTAAAAATCATCTCTAATACCATCAATTAAAAGGAGCCTGAGATATAGTTGATTTGGGCTCTTTATATTTTATGTATATTATATTATGAAGAGTCTTTTTTTTTTCCAAAACCATTTTATTGGGAGATAATACTGATATCATACCATTCCACAGATTAATCACATCAAACAGTATTGTACCATTGCTACCACAATCAGTTTCCAAATATTTTCTTCCTTCTTGAACTCCTTGTTATCAGCTCCCCTTTACCCCATCCCCCACCTTCCCCACGGTACTCTCCAGGAACCCTGATTCTATTTATTGTTTCTATAGGTTCATCAATCCTGAGTTCCATATACCAAAAAACATAAAAACACATAACAAAGTTCAAGAAGACTACCCACAATGACAAAATACATCAGAATAAACCCCAATATGAACACACACACAGAGGAAATATTGAAAACCAGATCAGGCCCAACATTAGAGATGGGGATCAAGTGACAAGGTTTTAACCATTCAAGTCAGGTTTATCAATTTGATCTCCTACCCTGCATCATTGTCTAACTTGTAACACAAACATTTCCCATGAAGAAGTAGCCTTCTAAAACATAATGTTGCCATCATGTTCATATTTCCCTTTACTGCCATTTACATAGGTACCCATTTTTCTCTACTGTAAGCATCACTGTGATCCTTGCGTCTAATTCACTGCATGTAGTCCATTGACTTCATTAGAGTTGGAATATTTTAGATCCACCCATAGGGACCCACTCCCAACGAGTATTTCAGAGAGACTACTTATTTAAACTCACACGAATACTCACGAAGTGTTCACCTTATAAGAGCATCACCAGCGCTGGCATTCCTTCTTTCTTTCCCTTCTCTTCTCCCTACTTGCTCTCATTTCTCTCCTGTCAATTTGATGATTTTACCATGGCACCTCTTTGCCTTAATTGACATTGTTAAGTCCACCTTGCTACAGATTTCATAGCCTTTTGTAAACTATTTTATGAATTTTTCTAAAATCATTAAAGAATTTTAAGATTGGTTTTAAAGTCTTTGAATTATATGCCAACATTTTCTCTGTAGTGTGTGGGAAATATTCTCATGGTTAATGATTTTATGCATATACATTTGTTGTTATATATTTGTTATTATGTAATTCAATAGTTTTTCTTTGTGACTTGCTCATTTTTAAAAAATCATTTTATTGGAGGCTCTTAGAGCTTTTATCACAATCCACACATATATCTATTGTGTCAAGCACATTTGTGCATATCATCATTTTCAAAATTTTTTCTTTCTACTTGAGCCCTTGGTATCAGCTTATTCCCCCCCCCTTCCCCCTCCCTCCCTCATGAACCCTTGATAATTTTTAATTTTTTTTCATGTCTTACACCACCACTATCTCCCTTCATTCACGCACTGTTGAGTTCATCTCCCTGGAAGGGGGTTATATGTCCATCATTGCAATCGGTTTCCCCTTTCTCCCCCCACCTTCCCCTTCCCCTCCTGGTATCACTACTCTAATTATTGGTCCTGAGAGGGTTATCTGTCCTGGATTCCCTGTGTTGCGAGCTCTTAGCTGTACCCATGTACATGCTCTGATCTAGCCAGGTTTGTAAAATAGAATTGGGGTCATGAGAGTGAGGGGAAAGGAAGCATTAAAGAACTAGAGGAAAGTTATGTATTTCATCAGTGCTACACTGCACCCTGACTGGCTCGTCTCTTCCTTATGACCCTTCTGTAAAGGGATGTCCAATTGTCTACAGATGGGCTTTGGATCTCCAATTGGCACTCCCCCATATTCACATTGATATGATTTTTTTGTTCTGGGCCTTTGACGCCTGATAACCTGATCACACTGACACCTCATGATTACACAGGCCGGTGTGCTTCTTCCATGTGGGCTTTGTTGCTTCTCAGCTAGATAGCTGCTTGTTTAGCTTCAAGCCTTTAAGACCCCAGAACGCTATATCTTTTGATAGCTGGGCACCATCAGCCTTATTCACATTTGCTTACGTACACATTTGTCTTCAGCGATTATGTCAGGGAAGGTGGACTTTCTCATTTTTATGGTAAATAAATTCTAAAATTTTATCCTGAAATCATATACATTTTCACCTACTGTTTTGTTCCTACTGCTTTGATCATTTAAACTTTTACACGCAATAAATTTATCACTCAGAAATTTATTCTATGGGTTTTCTTCCAAAATGGAGAGCATATTGCATCAGGATATCAAATCATATTTCTTTATGTTGAACTGAGATCTATTACTAAATGTACATTTATGGTAAAATCTGTTTCCTGAGAGTTTACTCAGTTCCATAAAGTAGAGTGTATATCCCTTCACCAATAAAACATCATTTGCATCATAGGTATTTTATAATACATCACAGTATCAGAGTCTCTGTTCCAAGGAAATTTGTCAAAGTGAGAAAAATCTGTAATTTTACTTTAAGTAGGCTATTGAGTTAGGTGTTGTTGTTAGGTGTTACCAAGTCAGTTCAGATCGCAACGCTAGCTACAACCAAAAGAAACACTGCCCAGTCCTCTACCATCATCACAATTGTTGTTATGTTCAACAGTGGGTTCAAACCCACTGTTGCAGCCACTGTGCCAATCCATCTCATTGAGGGACTTTCTTCTTTACCATGCATGATATCATTTTCCAGGGACTGGTCTCTTTCAATAACATGTCCAAAGGCTACTTGCTTCCAAGGAGGATTCTCGTTGGTCTTCTTCCAAGAGAGATAAGTTTGTTCTTTTGGGAGTCCATATTACTTCCACTATTCTTCGCCAACACCATAATTCAAATGCATCAATTCTTCTTCTGTCCTCTGCTTAGATATTTCTAAAATGTAAGTATGCTCACACATTCTTTGAATCACCTATCTTCACGAGAGGAAGGTCGATTCCCCTTGCTTGGAGAGTGGGCCATCATGTTAGGGGTTGAGTTATGGCCCCCAAAAGATATGTTAAAGTCCTGTGAAGACAACTACCAAATTTCATTTCACACCCAGGGAGTCCCTGAGTGGTACAACAGTTACGTATTAGATTACAACCTGAAAGGCTGGTGGTTGGAACCCACCCAGAGATGTCTCGATACAGGCCTGATGATCTGCTTCT